TATGTTCTGGCTCTTCTGAGTAGAGTTTGCATGCGACTAATTTGTGCGCTGTTGGGTTAATTTTGAGGATTTGATCATTGTCTGTTGGCTTCCTGTACACTTAGGTTTCTAGCTTTCCAGTATTTGTCCCACTATTTCGAACATCCAGGAATGGAAGTTGGTTGTTTGACTCTCTCTCCACTGATCGAAAACGTTTTCAATGACATCCACATATTCAATTTATTCAATATACTATGATACATCTCTAGACTGAGTGATTTCATCAGCATTTACTAAACACAGAAATGAAGCATTTCTATCTTCCATGAATACTTATGTAGAATAACTGTCAAGGTTGAGGGTTGTTGACCTATGGGTAGAGGTATCATATTTCTCCTATCCAAAGGAATCTAAACGTTCAAAGTACATAAAATAATTCGAAAAGGATTAAATTACAATATGAAAAATCTGAGTATGTTGGATTTCTGTTCACCTTTTGAATCTTCCCTCAAAACTATGAAGATAACAGTTGAATAACTAGTATGGCTTCAACATTTAATCAGTTCACTGGAGAAAACCAATCGACCAAAAGTAAGTAAAACAAATATTCCATTGCGAAAGATAGTGATTGATTCTGTTAGCGCCATTAAAACTTTTGAAGTTATCAATAGGTAAAAGGACTGAAACAGACTACCTTTAGGTCTGTCAACAGACCTAAACTACATCTATGTTTTCAAAATGACAATTTCTAACCTAGTACTGCTGGAGTAATTTGTTTATCATAAAATGTATCCAAACTTTTGTGGTATCATATTATCCCGAAGATTTTGTTACCTCATCAAATCTTGGAATGTGGTCGATTGTGATTCCGTTTTAGTCTGTTTATTAGAAATATCACACAGTGAAACAGTAGCATTTACTGGATAACGTTTCGTACACAATTTACTGTCCATATTCACATCAGCAGGTAACTCCACAACTTCGAGATAGACTTGATATATTCCTAATTTTCTCTCCTTCTCTGTGATGACAAGGGTAGTAGAATTTTCCATATATCTGAGACAGATGCAGAATCATTTCAATTGCCGCATGTATTTGATGTTGATTGGATACACAAAGATTCACTCGGTTATCAATCTCTCCCTCCCTCCACCTAACTAAGTTAGTTTTCAACACTGTTACCCTATCCCACCCTACTGTGTGATTGTATGTCATCGCATGCAGAGCTATAGCCGAGCCTTTCTCTAGATTTCTTATCTTGTACATTTTGTTTTATTCCGAAGCCAAGTATCTATCTCAACCCTGTTCACCATCTTCACCTCTTCAAGTTCTTGTAAATTTATTCCATTCTGAAGCTACACCTTTGATAATAATTATATTTCATCCACTTGTCAAACTTCTCAATCAAGAATATTCACCTACCTAGTAATGGTATTAATATATGAAAGATCCCCATTAGAATGTGAAAGAAGAACTGGTATTTCAGCAAAGAGCCTTCTTCAGGGATTTCATTTTCAAAACTTTACAGTCATACACTAATACATTTTACTCCTGTTAAGATTTTTCAAGCGTGCCGACAAAAATTATGACCATCATAAAAATCATAGAGTAATTAGAATATGACTTCAGTTACATGGAGAAATAATAGGTTTGGATAAGCAGTTTCATGAAATGATACCATAATTGGAAAACGAAGTGTGGTCTAAAACATTCTGGAAACAAGAATAAATGATACTTCATGTAAAAAGTGAGAAGCATAAAAAAAAGGAGGTCATTTCAAAGATCGAAAATAAGGACAATGAAAGGAGAAAGTTTGAATGACCTTTTTTTGCTTAGAAAGTGCAGGTTTATCCTTGTGCATAAGAAGAGCTTCAGCGATGCACAAAATACGCATACATACAGCCTTTGATGAAAGGCCTCTTTTCATTTTGTAAATGCTTTTGAACGAAGATGTTAGTGAGATGGAGTGAACTGTATTCACTATATGTTTAATTATAGCGCTACTAATAGCTAGACTGTTACCTCACTGTAACCACACAAGACAATGCTGTTGAACCCATTTGGATTATGGTCGCATCGAACGACCTCTACATCTGAATCCACAAGAGCACTTTAATTGATATACACATACAGAAGTGACCAGATGCAAAAGTGTTTCGTTCAAGTGGTGAGGAATATGATCAGAATTCGTTTGCAACTCATTAGTAACCAGTTATGAAAGTTGGTTATTTGATCATTCCATCCATATTGGTCTTATGTGAATTGATCTTCATAACTTTATTTCCATCAGCTGTTCTTGTAAGCTCTACATCATAACACAAGAGAAAAAATGTATTAATTTGAGATCGTACAGCATTGAGAGTGTAATCGCTGAAAACAGACTCTTCGTTGAAATACTTGTTCTGTCTTCAAATCCTATGAACAGTCAATTTTCTCTTCAATCAACCAGGACCTCCCCAAAATAAGAATTGAATATCCTATTTAACAATGACTAAAAACTTCTGAAGTATACAAAAGTTACAAGAAGAAGTTTGTTAAAAATTACTCAACATATGTCTTACAACATACTTTTGGTTTAACAGGAAGATCTGTGCGTTGAAGGAACTATCTTCGGCTCCCTAGTATTCCCACTTGTCACTGAAGGAGTGACTCAGAGGTTAGATTCGATAGTCTTTCCAAAAATTGAACCCAAAATTTGAATTCTCCAAGCTGATGAGACTTTCATAGTTATCAAGACAAGCAAACTAAGAAACGCATTCAATCTCAACAACCAAACTTTTGAGCGTGTTCAATTCACAACAGAAGAAGAGGGAAGTAATGAAACCACGTTGCACAAAGTTCGTATCAGAAGAGCTTGCGATGAAACCTTGAAGACTAAACTTTACAGGAGAGCGATAAGCACAGATCACGTTTTGAAATATAACAGCGAAAAACAAACGTTTCAAAAGTAGATCAGTGTACAACCACTACTATCATGTTTCAAAACTCATTGTTACACTCAACTACTGTTCACAGCCACTGGCTGTTCAGTCAACTTCATGAAGAAATACCTATCAGGTCATATCAAGACAGTTCACTCAGCTTGCAAAAGGAATCACTTTACCCCAAATCAAAGATACTTCAGAACCTGTCAACCCATTACTTGGCCAATCGGTATCAGAGTGGCACGTAAGCCAACCGGATCCCCATAGAACGTCATATCCAAGCTAAACGGTTCATCATCCTAAAAAGAGGGAGACAAAACGTATCTACGAAATCATTTTTTTAGTCTCTCGTGTCTTGATTGTCACTAACTTCCTTATCTGATTGTGTTTCTAGGCAATTTTTCTCTCGAAAACACATGACATTTTGTTACCATTCCTTCCAACTTACTCAGGCTGACAACTAATGTAGACATTCAAATACATGTGTTTAGTACTTATTCAGAACTCTTGTTCAACGTTGGCCTAAATTCACTCTATCAAGTGAAGATCCTGTCAGTGCACCTAACATCTACCAACCATTTTCAATTCCCATTTTTCTAAAACCCACACTAAAACCGCATAAATCAAGCCACCCAGCTTGAAAAACCGCTCCATGTTTACAGAAAAAGTTAAACGATAATAACACTACCTAAAAACTGGCGAGCAGGAAATCAGCTTCAGCTAACAGTGTAAAGGCAGCTAGATTGAATTACTCACCATTATGGACTCCTATTTTTCTCATTTTCTGGTTCAGGTAATTGCAGTTTACCATTCGATTACGTAACCAGATAGAAATCCACCCAACAACCTTTAGCACATTCTCGTTGTAGGTAATGAGCCTCACTCATCGTGTAAAGGTTAATGATCCTGCTTGGTTTGCTCCCCAGACCTCAATAGGTGGAGAGCGGTTTCACTCAGAGACTCACTGGTTGGAAATCAACTTCCACAGCCTATAACCAACTACTCCACACTAAGTTGCAATAATAATTATTCACTATGTCAATTTCTCTATACTTTTTAATTATTCCTGTAGATTAAACTGGACCAAGTCCTCAACTACAGTAGCAACAACCCACAAGATCAGTTGCGTGCAAACTCTATTCAGAAGAGCGAGAACATACTGCTGTATGACAACTTCACAGAGAAAAAGAAGAAAACTACTTGATATCGATCCTAAAGAAGAACAACTACCCACGGAAATGCATCAGAAGATGCATAACCAGTACAACATCAACTACAAAGTCATCGATAGAAATCAATAAACGCATCATCCTACCGCACATGAAGAATATATCAGAAACGATGACAAGATTACTGAGACCACTAGGAAATGGTGTGGCTCATAAACCACCATAATTCCCTGCAAACACTTTTATGCAGACCAAAGGACGCAAAACACAAAGAAGACAAACCGAATATCATTTAGAAAATCAACTGCAATAACTGTGGTCAACATTATATTGGACAAAGTGGTCACCCTCTTTGCCTTCCTCTATATGAACACCAATTGGCTATTAAAGGTCATGACATTTCACCACTCATTTCAATGCACATAGATAATTAAAAACATGAACTCAATTTCGACAATGTAGAGATTCTGGACAGAGGAAACACAAACAGTGTCATCAGGGGATTCCTAGAAGCTTGAAATTCAAGCCAGTCAGTCAGCAATCCTCAGAAGTATAGACATAGATCCGATCTATCAACCAATAAGAAAAATTATAAAGGACAGAAAGGTCATAGGTCAAGCATAGAGACAGCCAACAGGAAAATCTACACAGTCAATGACACAACAATCGAAGGAAACAACCGATCACAGACCACTTCGTCAAGACAAGCTGCTAAATCACTCACGGAGAGATACTGACAGCTCACTTCATACTGAAGTTAGTGGTGATAATTTCGCAGGATGATGAAAGCTCCACGATTGGGTGACCCAGCTCGGAGAACACAATACAACCAAGAATCTGGACCGTTTTTAGAAGTACGCTTGTATAAAAACCCCTTAAAGAAGAAATGATGACATAAAAAGCCAGCCATATCAGTTTTCCTGATCGCATGCAAAATGTATTCAGTCAAAGACATTTGGCATTTTTCCTGAATACTTTGAATAATAAACTAATTCATAAAAATGTTATGAGCTCGAGTGAATGGGTAAATATTATCACAGAATGGGCTACATTAAAAATTAAGTTTGAAGTGGCCATAAACAACATTACAATCGAAATCAAAGCCCTAGATCTCAAGGTTAATAAAACACGTATTGACATCTCCTTGTTATCCAAAGAAAATCAAGATAAGAGCCGTTTACATAAACTATTAAAGAAGTCTATTTAAATTCCTTTTTTCAGGTATAAGTCTTTAATAATCTAACATATTCAGTAAAATAGTACAATTTTCAGGTTTGTCAGTAATCATCATGAACTTAACTCAATCTACAAACCACTGAAAGCCTGAAGATACTAGAAAGTGCTTATTGATGACTTGCTTCGACATTATATTTATTGAGATTTTAGTAAGGAGTCATGACAAATGTGGTAGACTAATAACTCCATGAGATTTTTTGAACGTCTGTCTTAAGGTAATGCCATCAAAGTTTGGTAAAATTTTGAAATAAACCTCAGTCAATTTCCTGGTATACACTAGTTGTTCTTAACATGAATCAATGCTGCAGTCAAGGAACGTATTAAAAAGCCCAGTGAAAGGAAAAAGCAAACCTACAAAATGAGCTGATGGAATCATTTGAAAACCTTTCATCTTCCTTGTTATAATAAGAAAACTATACCGTCAGGAATGTTTGCTAAGTCAAAATTCTGAATGCCTTCAAATTGGTTCACGTGATAAATACTTCAGAACTTACTAGAAAATAAACTTATGCAACCTCAACCGCTAACAAGCGTATTGCCTAATCTTCGTTGTATTGTTTTCTCTCAGATGGGTTGTTTAATCGTGAAGCTTTCATTGTCCCGCTAGGCAGCGACATCATCATCACTAAATTCTGTATGAAGTAAGCTCTCATTATCTCTCCTTGACTGATTCACTAGAGTCACCTGACCAACTGCTTCATCATTGGTTGTCTCCTCTGATTGTTCCATCATTCAATGTATAGAATAGAGTTCCCTGTTGGCTGTACCTCCACTTCCAATTTGACCTCTCCTATTCACTGACTGACTGACTGATTGACTGACCTGAATGCATAGCTTCTAAGCATTCTCTGATGATATTCTTCGTTTCCTCTTTCCATCCAACATTTCTACAGGACAGACAAAGGAAACAACAAATCACAAACCAGTTCCTCAGAGTAAACTAGTGAATCACTGATGCAGCCATAATCACATCTCAATTCATACTAAATTTAATGCTGATCATCTCACTATCTGGTAAAACGGTGAAAGCTCGACGGTTAAACAACTCAGCTCAGAGAATACAATACTACAACCAGGACTAGTAGTCGTTTTTAAATCATGAACTTTACAAAACATAATTCAGTGAAGAAAATCTTCTTCCGACTACACTATCTCACTGAAGCTGTACCATCCTGTTCATGCAAATAAGAAACACATAATTGGGTTGTCTTGGCGTTGTTATGCAGTGTTCATCAACACAGTGAATCTTAGTTTCCAAACCACAACAAAGAAGATTGCTTGACTGCATAACAGTTCATTAGGTGATAAAATTAGTCAGAAACATAAAGAATTTATAGTATGAATTGTTTGTTTATTTTAAGTAGAATGACTAAGAATCCGTCTGGTAGATTAGAGTAGGTGAAGAACAAGACACGGATGCTGGTGAGTGTTTATGATGAAATAATTAATGGTATTGGGATCAAAAAATGTGAAGAGTGAGGGAGTTAGGATGATAGTGAGATAGAAGATTAGAAATAGCCATCTGTGCGTGCAATATTAGGCTTGACATAGTTGTTTATCATCATTCATGTTGGAGACAAGTCACGAAACCGTAATCATTTTCAACTGTTGGTGTATACGTTATCCTAGAAGAGGACAGTGATGGAAATCTGCAATGCAAACTGGTTGTACACTTAAATATTGAATAGCTCACAGATTTTAGGAAACATTCAGTGTTATGTTTAGAGATGTGCTTGTAAGTGAATGATTAGTTTGGCACACATGATGTAGTCTGAAGTAATAATCGAAGCCACAGATACCGAGTGAAGAGGTTCAAAGCTGCGATTTGTCCTTAAGATAGTCATGAATCAATTCCTAATAGTCCAGTGGAAAATGATCACTTAATGAACTGAGCGAACAGTTTTCCTAAGCAAGCATGAGAATGTTATGTTATGTTATGTTTAGAGATGTGCTTGTAAGTGAATGATTAGTTTGTCACACATGATGTAGTCTGAAGTAATAATCGAAGCCACAGATACTGAGTGAAGAGGTTCAAAGCTGCAGTTTGTTCTTGACTGATTCACTAGCTTGCCTTGACCAACTGCTTGGTTGTTTCCTTTGCTTGTTGTATTGTTGTCTGACTGCATAGATTTTCCATTGGCAGTTCCTTTGCTTGACCTTTAACTTTTTCGTCGTCTATCATTTGTCGTGTTGACCGATAGATTGGGTTTATGTCTATACATATACTGATTGCTGACTGACTGACTGACTGACCTGAATGCCAAACTTCTAGGAATTCTCTAATAGATATTTTGTGTTTCCTCTGTCCAGAATTTCTATATTGTCGAAGTTGAATTCATGTCCATAATTATCCATATGCATTGAACCCAGCTCAGAGAACACAATACAACCAAGACCATTCACCTGAGCTTGCAAATATTTTCGACTTTATACGGAAGTTAGTGCTGATGATGTCGTCTAGAAAGACGATAAAAGTTTCACGGTTGAACAACCCAGCTCACACGACACAATAAAACCAATTCCACCAAATTCTTTAGTCGAAGATCTTTGTAAAGTCAGAAGTTCATATTCCTCTAGGTGAATAGAACAACTTCGGCTGATGAATAAATGCTTTTTTATGAACTACAAATTAACATGTTGCTTTGAGATGCTCATTTACAGCTTTACTAAGTTCTTTGATGTTCCACATCATGATTTAGTTAGTACAAACTAGTTAAACACTTTGAATGAAAAAATATATCAACTTGTTTACAGTTTTTCCAGTTGAAAGTATTCGCTTTAAACACGGAAGAATAGTTTCAAAACGACTTCAAATTGTCTGAAGTAACTTTCATAGTCGTTAAGCATTAAGGTCGTCTCATTGAAGCATAGAACTGATCGATTTCACACACCACTAATTTGGGAATAGATTTATAAGTATTTTCACTATTCACTGATCAACCCATTTTAACTGCCACCAATTCGTGAAATAACGTTGTAGTTCTGCTCTGTCATCTAATCACAGATATTTTGCATATAATCTCCACACTACTAAAAGTTATTCACAAGGTTTGAAAAGATTCCATTCTCTTTCATTTTAACCTTCCAAACAAATTATAAATGAGATAAAATTGCGTAGATTTATATTTATCAGACTGATTGCTTTCTTTTATCTATCAGTATAAAGAATTAGATGTTACCAGTCTTGTTCAAGCTGTTGACATTCAACTGTACCTTTCTTGAAGTCAAGATGTCAGCATTTAAGCAGATTTGAGGTGTTGTTGTTGTTCATTTACAAAACTGTAGCGTTATCCGGCTTAGTAGAGTAAAGGTATTGTTTTTACTCCATTGAAGAGATTTCTTACCTCAGTAAGTATCGATAGATTAGCATTGATTGCTGCTTTCAAAATATCATCTATCCCCTTTTTTCCATATGAATTTCATTCAAAAAATTACATGTCAAGATTTGCAGCTCAGAATGAGAATGATAGTTTTTTTAATGGTCTCTGAGTCATATACAGTTATTGCTGAAGGTGTCGACAAGCTTCAAGACGAAACTTTACCCGCTGAAGCATCAAACCTCAAGGAAACAATGAACTATCATCAAAATTATGACTGTTAGGACACTTTTCAAGAACTCCGACCTTTACTGGAGAAAGTCTTTTTGATACGTTCCTACACAGGACTGAATAGCCCGACCTCGGTTGACAGAGTGGCTCTTGGATGGATGTATCGATCCTGCCAGAAATTCACGATATTATATTTGTCTGAATGGCTAGCAATGGAATCAAGGACGTGTGTATAGTCCTACTTCGGACTGACTCGTCAACTGAATGAACCTACTCAGATCCAGTATCTATTGCTTCAAACCGCAAAGCGTTATCCAGTAGGCCACTGAGGCACAAAAGTCATCTCTTGTGCACCGGGTATCAGTATACCAACGGGAAATTAACATTATGGAAAAACAACCGATACCCAATGCATAAGAGGTGGCTATCATGCCCCAATGGCATAGTGGATAACACTTTGTCATTCGAAGCAATATCTATGAGATTCGAGTCTCACTCACTGTGATGCAGGTAAATCCAGCTGGCAAGTCCCAACTAGGACGAAACGTGTGTCCTAGATTCAACTATCAGTCAGCAAGACAAACTCTTTCAACATTTATTAGGTGGACAACTAACAAAGTATTATGGTCCCGCCAATTATTGAGTTTTTCCTCTGAGATAAAAATCCATTTTTAAGTCATCACATAGTACAAAATGGTAATAACTTCCTTATTCCAACAGATAAGTGTCAATAGTGTGTCAATTTTCAGAACACTTATGGAGTAGAATGATAAGAGATACCTAATGAAATGGTCAAGATATTTGCGTTGATCAGACTAACCATCAAAAGCATATGACAGACAGAATAAAGGATTTATTCTGAGGGTCATTTCTTGTCAGTATAGACTTGTTTCAATCTTCTGTATGAAGTAAAACCAACTCACTGCAAAGAATTATGTCTTCATTTTCTCAGTTATATACATTCGATTACTACTTGGAATGACAAATTGAAGCTTGTTATTTGGTTAACAGTAATCAGCAGGTATTCGTGCTTGAACGAAATTTCATGGTTGTTGTCAGTCGTCAGCAAGGCATATTTGTGACCTGGAAGAAATTGATGTTCTACCTTAGACTCAAACCAGCCTCACTCAATTTCGCAGCCAGCAAGCGACATAAGCAATGAGTTAGTCAGGCTGCTCAGTAATGATTTTGATAACTTCATAACTAAGTGACGTGGATTTGAATCTCAAGCAGGAAATCAGTCCTCTTGAAGTTACAGATAATATTTGATGACGAGTGCAAACGACTACGAAATCTGTGTTGATCAAAGCTTCCTGTTGATTGCTTTAAACGCATCACAGTGATGAACCTCCCAGCTTGGTTATCACATTGCGAAATAATCCATGGAAGTTGGTGAGCACCCAGGATTAGAAAAGATGGAAGT